CCCACCCCAGCTCACACAAGTACACATAAAATGCCATCTGGGGGGTTCGATAATACCACCCTAGCTGGCGAACGTTCGCCAGCTATGGGGGTCCAAAATTTATCCTTTGTGGCGAAAATTTGTAGGAGTGGCACTGGATTTCAATAATTCACGAAAAAAGCAATTATTTTCTTGAGATACGTTTCTGCCCCAGAATAAGAGCAGCACTGAGGCGTCCGTTGAGATCAGTCTTGAAGGAGCAAATTTACAAACGTGGGATTGTTCTTGTTTTCTGCAATGGCTTGTTCCACACTTTCCACGTCAAATATCCCTTCCAGCGTGAGCTTCTTGAGTCTTGGTACGTGCTCAATCCGCAAAAGAGACTGTTCACGAGTAGAAGACCAGGCTAACTTCTTTAGATTAGGACAGGTCTCGTTGTCAAAGTTGATACATGTAATGGCTGAGCACTCAATGTCAAGGAACTCAAGACTCTGAAATGCATCTTTTTTCAAGGTGAGGGCAGTTTCACTGTATGACTCCTTTAGGAGCGTAAGCTGAGACAAGCTTGTGAGCCAGCGAAAGATTCTAAAGTCATCGTCTGTTATGAAAGTCATATGTAGGGTCATTTTGGAAAGTGCCTTGAGCTTTTCAATCCATGAAGACAATCCATTTTTCAGGCCACTAATTTTTAGCTTCTGAATGCAACTTGGATTACAGTGAACAAAGAAATCGGAGATTCCAGTTACATGGTACAAATGCCTCAAGACTAATGATGTTTTACTTCCCGAGACAACCACACCCAACTAACTGGAGTAGGTAGCCAACATAATTTAGTTCACTGACGTCACTAGAAACTGCAATATGAGATATCGCCTGCAATTCTATCATGTCCCCGATATGTTTTGTCATTGCCACGGTGCAAAGCGTCTTCTTAAATTGGACGAGACCATTTACAATAATCCATTCATAAGTCCAATACCCAGAAAGTAGATACTTTAGCTTTGGCAGAAAAACTGAATTTTTGGCGAATGCTTGTACATTTGTGTGACGGATGTCCAAGGTCTCTAGGGACTGAAGCTTGTCGAGCTGCTTCGGTAGTTCAGTGATGTTGTAGCTTGCGAATTACAGATCAGATTGCTTTGGATTTTTTTTCCTCTCCTACATATAGCTTTGGTCGTATATGACTTTGCTATTGCCTCGTGTTTTAGTGTGTGTGTGTGGTGTTGGATGTATGCATTCTAACTATACGGAGGCCGGTTATGCTTATTGTATTTGTATCCTCTTAATGCTTCATTTTGAGACAATAAAATCCACATTTGTCGAAAAGCGGCGGCGCACTTCTGAAGACCAAAGAGCCCAAGCAAGCCAAGGACATTTCTCTTCAAGTTGAAGTAATCATCATACAATCCACATATAGCAGCAGCAACAGACGCCTCGAAAGACGAGTAAACAAAACGAATAAAGTGGCAGAAAAACAAAAGGCGACCACTGAAAAGAAAAGCCAAAGCAACATTGCGATTTACAAAATCTGGAGTGGGGTAGACAGTTAACTTTTCTTTTTTTACTTTGAACCTTGGGCAGAGAGTTACCTGCCTGACATAGGAAACGAACCAAAAGGAAACGAGAGAAGGTCGATTGGGTCGGATCACGCTGCAGACACACAAACACAAACATGGCATGACATCCCAGTGACCGACAGGCTAAATTTACCCAGGCCCTGCCACCACAGCGCACCCATACCTGATACCCCGCCATCCCTCCCTTCTTCCCCACACAGAGAGAGCCAGCGGCGAGCCCAACGGGAAGCTGGCGAGGCGACCGCAACCTAACCGCCCACCTAAGTCTACAGCGCCTCTCCACGCCACCGCCAATGCGCCCTTTACCCCCTGCCGCCGTCCGCCCGTAGCTACACAACCTCCATTAAAAGGTTTGCTCCTTGCCGGCCGGCAACCTTGCATATCCTCGTCGATAAACCGGGAGATCGATCGACCGGAAGGATGGCGGACATGATCCTGGGCTCGGCACAGGGAGCCGTGGACTCCCTCCTGGGGCGTCTGACATCGGTCCTCGTTGACGAGGTGCAGCTGCTTGGTGGTGTCCGCAGCGACGTGCAGTTCATCAAGGACGAGATGGAGAGCATGAACGGCTTCCTCCTGCACGTTGCGTGCAGAGGCCGACGAGGAGGACCACCAAGTCGGAGCGTGGATGAAGCAAGTCGCGGAGGTCGCCTATGCCTCCCAGAACAGCATCGATCGGTACATTCAGAGGATCGGTGCTGGCCGCAGGGAGCCAGGCCTCCTAGGCTACCTGGGGCGGCTGCC